GTTATTAATGAAATCTGATGTTATTCCACAAGAGTTTTTCTGATCTGTTTAATTTGATAAATGACCTTTGCCTAAATGAGACACATATTGTACAAATAAATACAGAAAAGTGATATACATATAATCAGAAAAGTCTAATAAGAAAATTTGCTAAACATAAGAACAATAAAAGTACAAATCAAGGTTTGTGCAAGTCCATAAACTTGATTGTTAGAACCCGCAATGCTTTTTACAGATTCCTGTCCTCCTGGAACGTCGGGACTTGTAAAGCCGTTGTTAAACACAGTTTTAACCCAACTAATACTCAAATTGAAATAAACTATTTGACCAGTTGGATTTTGTAACGCCAAGCATTGGGAAAGATTGTCGTCCAATGGTAAATTACCAACATCTTGATCACAAGATTGAACCGGTTGTTGATAACAGGATAACGATGGAATGTAATCAAAGTTCGACCTGTTGGAGGCAAAAATTGTCACGTTTCCGGAAGTCAATTGATAAGTTATAAGCGCAGGAAGATATTTAGGAATGTCATATGGCGCTTTTCCAGGTACAGTCGTGCCGATGAAACTGGGAGTTACATTCAACGATGTGTTGGAAACGCGTAGACTGTAACCTATTTACCATTATAAAATATGTTGCCTTACTCAACGATTTAATCTCCTTTAAAATGCTAATCGGAATGCACTTCAAGTGTGTTAAATGTAAATAGAAAACTTACTTATATAAGTTGTACTAAAGTTACTACACGCATACCATATACCACCGTATGGCGGAACCTGAGCGGTGCCAGTGTATATATCTTCACCGTAGACATTAATGACCTATAATTAACTAAATCACGATCAGTGAACATGAATCGAGATTTTAATACAAACTAGTTAAAATTTCAAACCTGGGCAATCAAGAGTGCCATTACAAAGACCAATTTGGTTTTATTTATAGCCATTTATCTTAATTATATTACTCAAAAGAGCAAGGTGTTTAAGGAACGAATGAATGAATGAATGTGATTTATTATAATAATAAAGGAATAAAAAATAGCGAAAGAAAAAACTGAAATATGCGCATATAAATACATTTTCAAATGCATAAGTTTCGCAATTCACAACTATATTATCTTTATTATAATAATTTTCTTAACATCATTCGGATCAGATTTTAATGAGTGCATAATTCAATTCTACACAACTTTTCTTCAATAGTCCCTTTGAACCATATTCAGAAATGTGATAGATCTTCAATGTAAATTTTTCGAGAAACTTGCCAAAAAAGCTAACACACATTTCCTTATATGCTAGCTTTAATTAAAAAAAATTGATCGCAAAACCTAAAATAGCATTGCAAACTACCGGATGAGTGAAAATAGTTGGTTTTGATCGATTAAGAAAAATGAGATGTTAAATTAAAGGTGAAAAATCAATCATACTGATAAATTTTTAATTTCTTCCTGCATGATTATAGACAATGCTTTTTGTATATATTTATATACTTTGCATGATTTTGCATTCCCAAAGAAGCCAAGAATTGAATAAATCAATCATACTTTTCATCCGTTCCGAATATAGAATCTGCTCGAAAAGATTCTCGAGCAAACCTTCTAATATCGTAATTTCTCTCTGACCACCAATAAACTTTTCAAAAAATTTGGTATCATCTCTTTGAAACCCTTATGTGGACTTCAAGATGATGCGTTATGGTTCAATTTTTTAAATGAACGAATTATCATCATTCTTGCTTTTTTTTTTTTTTTTACCAAGTCTCATTGTTTGCCAGATTTGTAATGGTTCAACCCAATTATAATTATCATATATCTTAAGTACGTATACGTAATCACAGATACAAAAAATTAGCCTCACAATTTGAAAAGAATCCCATTATTGAAAACTATAATAATTATCACGTATCAGGTACGTACATACGTACACAATTATCACGTATCAGGTACGTACGTACGTACACTCCCCTGACATTGATCACCGGAATTTTGATTTTCACGTTACCTAATGATGATCGTAGCTACATATGTAACT